AAGTTCTATGCTGGGAAATTCAGGCATTAAGAAGTATATATGTAAGAATACTATGCCTTTATGTGGATCGAATGATAAACAAACCTTACGAAAAAGTTTCTTTCTCAGAATTTGTAATTCTGTTGGTTCCGTGTGATATATTTTGCCTGTTTCATGACCCTGTTTTACGTATCACAAATCTGTCATTTTATATCAGTTGTAAGACATATTTGTAGAAAAACATACTAAAAGGAGGAAAACTAAAATGCCAACAATATTATGAAAGGAAAAAAAGAAACTTGGTGTGGTGATGGAGTCTTTCTGTACAAGGTTGGTTGCTCCCTGTTGGGACTTCAGATATGACAGATCAACGTTACAAGCCACGAATACAAAAGAGCGGGCATATAGGACACGAGACAAGTTGTCAGACAGAATAGAGAGTCGCCTATAATAAAACTGAGACGGCAGAGAATAAGTAAGGAACAATTTTTTGACTCAAGAACTATACTATCTTATCACGAGCCACTGTTACGAGTGTAATCACCTATTCCGTTACAACGTAATGAAAATTGTGTTTTATAAATACCCCAGAGTGATAAATTACTATTCGTACTGCCATATTTGCTTATTCCCTTAAGAAGCTAGAAACAAATTTCTGTCGAATGTAGAGGAGAAATTGAAGTTTAAATAAGTAGTGAGAATCATAATTCTAAGATAGAGATGTTCATCAGTAATATATCATTGTTATTACTTATCTACTTATAAACTCTGTTAAAGTGAGTTCTAACTGTAGGAATAACAAAATCTAAAAATGTCGTATGTCTTTACTGCGAAACCTAAATTTGCTTGTTCAAATTATATTTGTATTTAAAGGACAACCAATGAAGAACAAATAACAGGTCCGATTACAGAGTTTTTGTGATTTCCCACTCATATTTCCTCAGTCCTCAGCCTCTCCGGGCTAAATCTAGAGCAGTACACTTATACGTGTATATCACTATTATTTGAATCATTCCCCCTCCTTTAACATGTAAACATTACTTCCTAAAACACATTCACCCATCGACTGTAGTGGAACAATCCGACTTTTTCTTACCCGAGAAATCCCAGCTTCGACTATTCGCTGGGCAATCAAATGTTGCGCGGAATTCGTGGCTTTAGGTTCCTCCAGGCTAATGCAGAATACATGCATGTAAACACGTACGTACATGTACATACATTTGTACATACCCTTAATAAAGCTGTGGAATCATTTAATGTGATTATTCATTAATATTCGAGCGTATGAGTCGATTATCGTAACTCATATTGGCTGCAGACAGAGAGAGACAGAAAGGAAGCATTCATAAGATATTTTTGTTACTGTTCACAAACATACCAAATCTCTGGTGTAACGGAGAACAGTTAGTCTGTAGTTTAACTGATATCTGGAAGCAAATGAATGTAGTCGGCGAAGCTCGATTTGACTTAACACTATTAAAGTTTTGGAACATTATACAAAATAAAATGTTCATAGTACGAGTATAGAGAGCGCAATCAGTAAGATGACTACCGACGGAACGGACAACCCGGGTTCCAATGCCTGTAGGTCCATGAATTTTTCTGCAGACCGCCTCTGGATACCCATTCACAGGGTATCGCCCCCAGGCGACGAGAAATTCGCTTCCCTACCCACGAGTTAAATTAGCTTAGAACTTCGTCACAGTTAATAACGCAAATTTCCCAGACACTGTGACGAAAATCGTCATTGGTGTTATGACTCTTAAAGCAAGAGCCAAGGAAACAGTAATAAAAACACAGTGTCGCAGTTCCTTGAAATTGTGATCTCGGAGTGGAATAGAAATACAAAAATATTTAGGCGGATGTGTGAAGTATCTTAATCATTATCAGTCCTTACTTTTGTAAAGTGATAGCAGGACATAGTACGATGCTACGCAGCATCTGTACAAGCTACAGCAACAAGCAATTCACAGTTATCCATCATCAGGGCGATACTTATCGCCTGTTGATGGTCTACACGGCGCTACAACTCAGAAGACAGAAATCTTCATGTATGGTAGTTGATGACACCTCTATCATGTACGATCTGAGATTTTCGCGGCGGTGAGTCCAAGGATGGCTGTCTTCTGGTGATGTTGCTTTCTGGTAGAAATTTGAAGATTTCTGTCTTCTGGGTTCATCGCCCTGATGACGGAGGCAGTATGACCTCTGAAACGTTGGTAAATATCTACCAGACTACACAGCGCAACAACCCAGAAGACAGAATTCTTCGTACTCACCGCTGAGAAAACCTCAAATCATACATGGTAGAAATTTAATGGCGTTTCGGAGGTGCTTGCTGCATCCATCATCACGACGATTGCCCTACAAGGCGTAGCAATTCAGAAGACATATATGTTCATACTTTCCGCCGTGGGGACCTCAAATCTCCGTGTGTGTTGGTTGATGTCATGGCCTTGTATTTCCCGTTGTTTTCGAATATCACCCGCCCATTTCAAATATGCTCGTGTTACAATTGCTCTATGCTTACTACGTTTGAGAAACAAAGATAAATTTATGTTAGAAAACTGCTATCGAATTTATGAGGTGTTGCTGACGGTTTTGAGATTGCAGAATTAGACGTCATTGCAGCAGTATACAGTTATATTTGCATCGCGGCGTAACTCATTCAGATAAATGTCAGTTGGACACGAAATAACAAACGACGAAAAGAAATGAATTTAATTTAACCAAATGCATAGAAGTTCTGTTTATACGAACTGTACATCGCTTTTGATTTGAAGCAATAGACAAAATAAACTTCGTTAACTGTCATACGGGAAGAAGAATGCTACTATTGACAAATTGAAAATGCTTGTCTTTCGTATCTATCATGTTTTATCTTTATTTCTTACAAAATTCATATTTGACACGTCCAGCTGCTGAAAAGTTCTGGTGTGGAGACAGTAGCACTCGAATCCAGTTGACAGGAGATTGTGGAACACGCCCACATCATATCGGCCTGTCAGGACGGTGGATTAAAGTGGGAACAGCGGGGAAATGTTGGAAAATATGCGTCTGCTTTGCGCCTGATAGGAAAATGCAGGCTTATCAGTTTTAGCTAAAATTCTTATTCACACTTCAGGCTAATAGATTTAGACGTATTGAAATTATGCTGCTCGAGGTATATCTTGCACTACAAATTATGCAATAAGAACTTATGTTTTTGTGACCAATAGAATGTGAATGGAGACTTCTCTGTATCCATTTTTAGTGTGAATAAGCATGAAAGTAGATCACCTGA